GACACAACCCAGCCTCACTTCTTTTATTTTTTAGATTACCAATATAAATAATTTTGAGTGACAGAACAAAGTTCTTTGATATTAACTATATCAAGAGTTTGGTTTCACAAATACTTTTAAACATAAGACTATCCAATAAATAATTTCATGATAAGTAAGTATATCAAAATCTTCTTCCTTGATAAGTACTATAGAAGCATGTATTTATAATGGCTTCATCACTTTCTTTCCTTTTTTTTTGTTACCTAATTTTCCCAAAATTTTATTTTGAAAAAATTTAAACCTATAGATAAATCCAAAATATAAATACAATGAATAGCAAGCCACATGTTATATTATTATCATTACTGTTTTTGCAGTTTTGGGGATTGAACCTAGGGATGCTCTATCACTGAGCTACATCCAAGCTCTATTTTTCTCCTAGGTTGAGAAAGTTTCTAACTTATTTTTCTATCTGTAGAACCTAGTAAGTACTTGGTATGAAGGCAGTGTTTCAGAAAATACTAAATTGTGTACTTTCCTAATTTAATCTGCTTTCATTCCTCTAACTCATCCTTTGTTGGAACAACAAATTTATAATACACAAACATGATCACATCTCTTCTCAGCCCAATTAACTAACAGCAGCTAACATCTATTACTATAAGTAAAGCACAGCGACAAGCACATTATATGTTTTATTTCATTTAATTCTATAATAATCCTATGAGGTAGGTACTATTATTAATGTGATTTGATAGGTAAGAAAACTGAGGCATAGAGTATTAAATAATTTATCTAAGGTCACATAGTAAGTGGCAAACTAATCTAATTCCAAAGTCTCTGCACTTAAGCAWGAATTGCTGCTTACTTTCTCATTTTTCTTTGATTTTGAACATCCTCTCTCAGCCTGGACTCCCTACAAATTCCTATTTATCTTGTCAGTCACATCTTAAAGCCTTATCCTAGGAACACTTAGGCACCTTATTTGCATTCACTGTTCTTTATATACAATTATAACTCGCATTTCATAAAACAACCCCTTCAATACTCTGGCTGTATTTCCTCACTCTTAATCATCTTTTTTTCCTTCACTTTTTTAAAAATTAGTGCATTATGATCTTTCCCTACCCTACCTTTCATGGCATATTCCATTCATTTACAAAACAAAAATTTAAACAGTATCTATTATTTGCTGAGCTCTGTATTAGTCTCTTGGATACAGCTCTTTACTTGGGGAAGACAAATACATTTGAAACACACATGTGTGGACACACACACACACAAAAAATCAGGAAAACAAAATAGCTTATCGCTATTAAATGGGAGAGTCTAGATATGAATCTAGGTTTCTTTGAYTTTAGATCTTAAAGTCTTTGCTCTGCTGCCTATTTTCAGCTTCTGTCTCAGAATTTGGTACTGTGAAGGCACACAGTGGATGTTTCTTGAATGAATACTAACTGTGCTCTACCACCGAGCTACAACTACAACCCTCTTATCCTGATTTTAAATCTCTAGGCTCAGGACAAAAACCACAGTGGACATACACAGACCTACTTTTCATCCTGCTTCCTTTCTTGTCAGTAAATATTACTGCTATACACAGAGAATAAAATATTTATTTCTGGAAAAAACATGGAGGGGTAGTTACATTAATAGAAGTTTTTCATCCTCAGATTACCTGTTTCACCTTAACATCATCCTACTTCTCCCTCCTACTGTTCATTTCTATATTCTGATTTTTAAAAATAATAAGCTTTATTTTTAGGGCATTTTTACATTCATAACAAAATGCAGCAGGAATATTATGAGGTTTCACATAGCCCCTGTGCACACATACACAGTTTCCCCCACTATCAACATCATACACCACAGTGGTATATCTGTTACAAAAAAATCTATCGGACACATCATCATCACCCAAGTCCATAGTTTACATTAAGATTTACTTCTGGTGTTTACAATCCTTTAGGTATGGACAGATGTATCTACCATTTAATATACAGAATAATTTTACTACCTACACATTTGTAGGCTGAAATCTAAAATATTYACTGTAAGTTGAATAGTTGCAAATGGATATCATTTCTCAAATACTATAAACACTGACATTTTAAAATATAATTACTATAATACTATTTAAATACCAGGAATCTAAATGCCATTCCAATATTTAAACTTTTAAATTTTTAATAACTTCAGATTTACAGAAAAGCTTAAGAATGCTACGAAGAACTTCCATATAGCCTTCACTCGGATTCCTCAAATGTTAACCTCTTGCTACATCTGCTCTATCTACTTATCTCTTTATCTAGCGCTAAATATTTTGGTTTTTATTTCCTAAAAATCAAGGACTTTCTATTACATAAGCACAGTATAAATATTATTAACTAGGAAAATAATACTGATATAATACCAAAGGGCTTTATTCAAGTTTTATAATTATATTAATAACATTAATCACAGGCATAGAAAATGTAAGACTATGAGGTATATTTAGTTGTCAAGTCTTAAGTCTTTTTTTTTTTTTTTTTTTTCTATTTTATGGTGCTGGGGATTGAACTCAGGGCTTCACATAGGCTAGACAAGTGCTCCACTACTGTCATTTCTTCTTTATTCCAGAACAATTCCTTAATCTTCTTTTGTCTTAAGTTTTTTATGGGAATAGTCAAGTTACTTTGTAGAATGTCCTTTAGTTTGGGTTTGTTTCATTTTTCCTCCTGATTAACTCAGGTTATGCATTGTTGGTGCAAACACCAGACAAATCATATGTCCTTCCCAGAGTGTCATATTAGGAGAAACACCATATCTATTTGTTCTTTTACTGGAGATGTTAACTTTGATCATAAATTTCTCCACATATTTTTTTAAAATTTTTTATACTTTATTTATCTTTATGTGGTGCTAAGGATTGAACCCAGGGCCTTGAATGTGCTATGTGAGCGCTCTACCGTTGAGCCACAATCCCAGCCCCACATATTTTTCTTAATATTGTATACTATGAGTTCATATTAGAACTTCCAATTTCAATCCAATTCCAGATTTCGTTTTGGCCCTTCCTTTTTCCATATTTATTTCTCCAACATTAAGAGCTCAGACTTATATGTTCAATTATTTAGCAGTTTATTATAAGGATATTACAAAAAATATAGATGAAGGGATGAGTATGGTGAGGTTTGGAAGAAGATGCACACAGCTCCCATGCCCTATCAGGACCTTTCAGGACCTTCATGTGTTCAACTGTCTGAATGCTCCTATTTTGCCCCCCCCCCCCACCCTGTGACTCTAGGGATCAAAGATAGGGCCCTCTAGTACTTAACTATGAGCTCTATCAATGAGCAACCTCACCAATCCAGTCCTTCTGAAATTGATTATTAAAGTCTAGGCCTAGCACATAAACCACAATGGACATGGAYAGACCTAGTTTTCATCCTGTTTCATTTTCATCAGCAAATATTATTGCTATACATAGAAGAAAATATTTATTTTACTGGATATTGCAGGAGGAGTAGCTACATAATAAGTTTGTTATTTTTATTGTAYAGTGTCAAATAGATCTAAAACATAAAATGGAAAATTGATGGTCATAGAATTATACAAATTAACCCCAGATTTCCAATTTTTATTTTGCAGTTATGATTTGTCATTCTTATAAAGCCAAATAAAATTTATAAAAATTGAGGATTTTTYATATAAATAAACTTCATGATTTTCACTGTGTAAATAAATTTTTCTAATGAAAGGATGATAATGACAACATTTCAAATTACAATAAATAAGAAGGTGATGTTTTTAGTACATAATTTCAGTTGGCTGGAGAAAAGCAAGGCCCAGTAAAGGTTATGGAATTTATTTCAACAAACAGATTTTTATTAGATGATTATTATATAGCTTGAGTTAAAAAGTTATAGGAATGTTATTTTTTATTTTAAGAGCACAAAATATTTTAAAAACTTCAAGGCCTCTGACACTTCTGAAAAGTGTGCTTGCTTGCTTGCTTATTTATTCATTTACTTATGGTTAGCAAGTTTATTAAAAAATGGTGACAGGAGTCAGACAAATCTAAGGTTACAGTCTTGGCTCTGCCCCTTAATAAGTGAATCACCTAGGAGCAATTTATTTAATATCTCTGAGCTCATTTCCCTTAAAATATGCATAATAATCTCTAATTTGTAGGCTAGCTGGTGAATTTAGAAGTCTGTATAGTAATCAACATAGTACCAGGAACCTGGTTGTATTCAATAAATAACAGTTCTCTTTATTTAAGGTCTGCAACTTTATTTTACTCTGGTTTCATAACAGGATATGCTTAAATCATCATTTCCTACAACAAAGTTTCCTGTGTTTGCTTCCTTCAATGTAAATGACCTCCTGCCTCAACAAAATGTGCTAAAATATATTAAGGTGGAAACAGTTAAAGAATTTGCAGCCTGTCCTTTGACCCGCTCCTCCTAGTGCTGGGGACTGAACTGARGTCCTTATATAAGCTAGGCAAGCACTCTACCACTTAAGTTATATACTCCCAGCCCATGCAGTTTTTCTTTTCTAGATCATAATATAAGGCTTTATGTGTATATGAATATGATGATCCTTGGTTGTTTCTGTCTGTAAGAGTAATCCTGCCCTTGCATTACTGAATATAATAGAAGGCTGGACCTTGGCTTTGGCTGTTAGATATATTCCTGTTACCTAAACCTGGTTCCCATAAGCACTTATTTTTGCAACCTCTTGTTTTAAACACTGATTTTTTTTTAAAGGCTTTCTACTCTTTCATTTTCAAAAGCTATGTCTACATATAATTATTAGAAAAGTAAAACACAAAGCAGGCATATACTATTAAACAATCAAATGTGGGGGCTGGGGTGGTGGCTCAGTGGTAGAGTGCTCGCCTAGCATGTATGAGGCACTGGGTTCGATCCTCAGCACCACATAAAAACAAACTACTGTATCCACTTAAAACTAAAGATACATTAAAAAAAAAAACCCAAACAATCAAATGTGTGATAATTTAAAATAATTACCTGATGAAATATGGGATCTTTTACATGAAGGTAAACCTGCAAAATATTAGAAAAATACATGTGAATGAAGTGTATTATGGAGGGGGAATAAAAACCTATTCCACCTACTTGGTACATCCCAAACCTTTCCTGCTAATCTCATCTTGTTTGGACTTGACTCCAACCATGTAAAGCCAATCAGATTAGGTAGCATGGCACACAAAGTGCTAGTACATACAGATGGCTCTCTACCAGTACTTACCTTGCCATGGTAAATTAAATACTTCAAATCTATTGTGAACTCTTCTGACTTCTTGGCCTTTGTGTCACAATCAAGTAGATAGAAGAATGCATGAAGACTCATGAAGAGGGAGGAAGTTATGCTGCTAATTCCTGTACTACATCTATTCTATACTAGAAAGAACACTGAACGATTTAGAGATAGGAGTTAAACTCTGACACTTATTTGTTATAGGCCATGGGCAGAGTCAGTGAATCAAAACCCATTTCATCTTATCTGGGTAATGAAGAGCAATAGTGGAGAGGAATGAYAAGCTAAAATACATGAAAGTATCTAGCACGCAGTAGGTGTGTTCAATAAATGAAGACATTTAAAAAAATTTCCTGTTCACTCTTTTGCTCTTAATCTGTTCGATCACCTAGATGCATTCCAAGTTATACAATTTCTAGTTTTAGGATCCAGTGTCACACTGATTATTTAAGCCCAATGCTTGATTAATATTTAACATGCGTGCATTGCCCTTTATTTTATTTATTTATATGTGGTGCTGAGATTCTGACCCAGAGCCTCACACATGCTAGGGAAGCACTCTACCACTGAGCCTCAACGCCAGCCCCAAGAGCACAATTTTTAAATGATGTGGTACAGAGGAATCAAAATTCAAATCACAACCCTTTAATGACTCTCATCACTTACAGAATAGGTTCAAATTTCTTAGCTTGACCTCAGGGTCTCCTACAATTCCTGCCTTTCTGCTTGGCCTCACTGCTATCTTCTTGTCTCCTTCTCATCCTCTGTTCCGAAAAGTACTGTGCTTCTTCAGATGTACTAGTTTCATGCTTTTGTAACTTTAAACATGCTTCTCCTTACTTTGTTCAGAAATGTTCCCCTGCTGGCAAATACTCATCTGTTAATATTCTATTCAAAGATACTATCAAAAGCCTACCCATCAAGAAAACCCCATGACCAGATGGATTCTCAGCTGAGTTCTACAAGACTGTAAATGACGAATTAACGCCAATACTCCTCAAATTATTCCATGAAATAGAAAAGGAAGAAACACTTCCAAACTCATTCTATGAGGCTACTATCACCCTGATACCAAAACCAGACAAAGATACATTAAGGAAAGAAAACTTCAGACCAATATCCCTGATGAACACAGATGCAAAAATTCTCAATAAAATTCTGGCAAATTACATACAAAAACATATTAAAAAGATAGTGCACCACAATCAAGTGGGGTTCATCTCAGGGATGCAAGGATGGTTTAATATATGGAAATCAATAAGTGTAACTCATCACATTAACAGACTTAAAGACAAGAATCAGATCATCATCTCAATATACAAAGAAAAAGCATTTGACAAAATACAGCATCCCTTCATGTTCAAAACACTAGAAAAACTAGAGATAGTAGGAATATACCTCAACTTTGTAAAAGCTATATATGCTAAGCCCAAGACCAACATCATTCTCAACAGAGAAAAACTGACAGCATTCCCTCTAAGAACTGGAACAAGACAAGGATGCCCTCTTTCACCACTTGTATTCAATATCATCCTTGAAACTCTAGCAGAGCAATAGACAGAAGAAAGAAATTCAAGGGTTATGAATAGGAAAGGAAGAACTCAAATTATCACTATTTGCTGATGACACAATTCTATATTTAGAAGATGCAAAAAAAAATTCCACCAGAAATCTTCTAGAACTAATAAATTAATTCAGCCAAGAAGTAGGACACAAAATCAATACCTATAAATAAATTGCATTCCTATATTCCAATAATGAATCTGCTGAAAAAGAAATTAGAAAAACTATTCCATTCACCGTAGTCTCAAAAACAAAACAAATCAAAACAAAAAAACCAATAACAACAACAACAATAACAACAGAAACCTGGGAATCAACCTAATAAAAGAAGTGAAAGACCTCTACAATGAAAACTACAGAATACTAAAGAAATTGAAGAAAACCTTAGAAGATGGAATGATCTCCCATTCCGGATAGGCAGAATTAATATTGTGAAAATGGCCATAGTGATGCAACCACTATGAAAAGCAGTATGGAGATTCCTCAGGAAACTTGGAATGGAAACATTCAGTTATCCCACTCCTTGGTTTATTCTCAAAGGGCTTAAAATCAGCATACTACAGTGACGCAGCCATATYCATGTTTATAGCCAGCCATATCCATGTTTATAGCAGCTCAACTCACAATAGCTAAACTATGGAATCAACCTGGGTGCCCTTCAATAGATGAATGGATAAAGAAAATGTGGTATATACACACAATGAAGTATTATTCAGCCTTAACAAAGAATGAAATTATGGCATTCCCCAGGTAAGTGGATGGAGAATATTATGCTAAGTGAAATAAGCCAATCCCTCCAAAACCAAAGGCTGAATGTTTTCTCTAATATTCGAATGCTAATTAAAAGGAGGGGGGTAGTTAAAGAAGAAYAGAGGTATTCTGGACTAGGCAGAGGGGAGTGAAAGCAGAGAAGGGGGTTTGGGAGTAAGAAGGGCAGTAGAATGAGTCAGACATTATTACCCTATGTGCATATATGATTACATGACTGGTGTGATTCTATATCATGGACAACCAGAAGAATGAGAAGTTATACTCCATTTATGTATGATGTGTCAAAATACATTCTACTGTCATGTATAGCTAATTAGAAAAACAACAACAAAAAGATTCAACTCAAAGTATGCCTCCTTCCCACCATCACTGTCCATGTACTAACTTTATGGCATTTAGTTTCTCTCTCTCTTTCTCTCTCTCTCTGCAAGAAAAGAATTTCTTTGATAGAAAGGACTGGTTGTAAATATCTCTATATCCTCGTTTAATGTAATGATTTAATAAAGTTTCACAAATTCATACAATTTGGCTACCAAGTTTATTTATTTTTGCAGTAAGTTTCTAGCTACAAAGTGATCAAATTATTTCCTTTGAAAAGGCTTTAAAATAATGTGTCTGAGACTATATATATAATCTCAGTAACTTTAAACTTGGCAAAGGAAAATGCTTTTAATCTCTGAATTCCTTATTTGAAAGTAAGTGATTTCTGAGGCTAGAGGGTRTAGCTCAGTGATAGATTATAAGCTTAGCAGAAGCAAGAACTTGGGTTTGATCCCCAGCACCAAACGAAACAACTAATTTGCCTTTGTATGGTTAAAGCATATTCTTATAGCTACTAATAAAAAATACAAAAGGGCATGCTCTTGAAGATACATTTTTTAAAGGAAGAAAATTATGAAGTCCTTGCTACATGCCAATATTAATTTTCAGAACTAATATGAAATGTATACTATTCTTATCTACATTTTATAGGTAAGGAAAACTAAGGCTGAAAGAGATTAAGTAATTTGCCCAATATCCCACAGTTACTAAGTAACAGTGTTAGATATAAACTCAGATCTCATTGATTCCAAAGCCTTTTTTTGTTTGTTTTTTCTTTTGCAGTACTAGGAATTGAACCCAGGGCCTTGTGCATGCCAGCTAAGCTACATCCTCAGATCGTTTAAAAAAATTTTGTTTTGAGACACAGTCTCCCTAAGTTGCTCAGGCTGACTTCAAATTTGTGATCCTTCTGCCTCACCCTCTGGAATAGCTCAGATAATAGGCCCATGCTACCATGCCCAGCTCCAAAGCCTGTTCCTAACTACATCATCTCTTAACTTAGAAAGTGATCCAATATTGAGACAATATTGGATCACTTTGTAAGTTAAGAGATGATGTAGTTACTCTTTAAGATGTAGCTACTCTCGGGCTGGGGATGTGGCTCAAGCGGTAGCACACTCGCCTGGCATGCGTGCGGCCCAGGTTCGATCCTCAGCACCACATACAAACAAAGATGTTATGTCCGCCGATAACTAAAAAATAAATATTAAAATTCTCTCTCTCCCTCTCTCTCTCATTCTCTCTTAAAAAAAAAAAAGATGTAGTTACTCTTTATATAAACCTGGCTGGCAAGGCAAGTCACTGACACTCTCTAGATTTACTTTATTCTCTTCTTTAAACAGTAACAAGACTATTTTTCACCTCTTCTAGGATTCTTTCATCATTAGCTAGCATGTAGTTTAGGCAAAGCTTAGAAACTCAAGAAAATACTGCATATGTGCTCTTTCACCCTTTTATTTACCATCTCAACAACTGGAATATAGCTTCTTCCTTCATCAATTTACTGGTGACAGTATTCTCATTTAGATTACTTGGTTTTCTAATTCGAAATTTCTATTGGGTTTAAATCTTCATTTTATTCACATCCATTCAGAGGAAACTAATACTTACTAGTTACTTTTCACTCTAAAAATTCCTGTTACATTGGGCTCTTGGCTTTTATATATATATATATATATATATATATATATATATATATATATATATATATAATTACTTTTCTCAAACTGCTTTGCTTGTTCTATCTCTTCTATCTGTAGTTGTAGGATTCTATCTTTAGTGATCATAATGGTCTATGCTATTTCTGTGCCAGTTCATCTATTCCCACCTATCTAGTCTACTTATACCCTTCCAACTCCCAAATCTACATCTTTGGACCACACTACTTGCTACTTGCCTCAGGTGTTATTAATGCTGGGAGCTTCAAACCCAACATATTCTAAATTAAATTTACCTACCTCTATGCCATGATACAAACTTATCCATTAAGTTTCCTGAAAAAGCTGCTCATCTTCCAAGTTTCCTATCATGGTTAAGGGCATACTACATATACTGGCAGCCAGGCCATAAACTGAGGAGCCATTCTAACAAATCTTTTTAAACTCCAGTTCCATCTTTTCTACTCAGTGGACCACAGGTCCCATAGATAGGTATTTATGTCATCTTTTTTTCATTCCTATATGTTACTTTATAGTCTGAGTCTCATATCCCTAACCCTTATTCCTCCCCATCCTCCATAGCCAGTGTAATCTTTCTTAAACATATCTGATTACATTTTTCTCTACTTTAAGCCAGTTAATGGCTCTCCATTGCCTTGACAATAAAAATTAAAATTGTAAGACCTGGCAAACAATGAGCTTTATAACCTAATTCATTAAGCTCATTCACTACTCCCCACTTATCATATGTCCACCTATATAAAATCTTTCCCAATTCTACTGGTGATGAATGAAAACAATAAAGGTAAAGTATTCAGTACAATATCTGACATTAGTAAATCATTAAAAACAGTAATTCTCTATGTGATTCCAGAGTTTTATACCCATGGACATATGAAAGACTATTTCAAAATGTTTCGCCACACTGTTGCCCAGGGGCTGGATGAACTTTCAATTATCAGTCAAAATCTAACTCAACTGCCTCCTCTCTCTGAAGCCTTCCATGACCTACTCAAGTAGACTTTTTAAAAAAATTAAATTTATTTTTAATTGATACATAAAAACATAAAAATACATATTTATGGGATATAAGGAATACTCAAGCAGTCTTGATTGGCTTTCTTTTACCTCATTACATATAATTAACATTTACTTCTAGTATTTCAGTTATTATCTTTTGATACATTTCTTTATTTACAAGTTTAATTTCTCTAATAGAATTAATTCCTTATGGATAGTAACTGCTTCTTAGGCATCTCTGWATTTCCTGTGCCTGACATGTAGGTTTTCCTAAAGTGTTTGTTTAAATTAATATTTTCTTAATACAAAATGCAATTCACTTGAGGAGAAAAGCACAAGATAGGATAAGGATCAGAAGTGACCGGCTACCTCAAGTTATTAGGAAAAGGTTAACCATTAAAATAGTCACACTAGATCCAATGAAGTGGAGCCAATTTCTTTAACAAATAGGAGGTAATATGTCCATTCATGAAAAAGTTAATTTTTCTCCATTGTTACTAACTAAATATTTACTTTTTGACCTTTCTTCCTTTAAAAAAATTAAACATTACAAAAGTTATTTCAATTACAAGGAAAAATAACACTTGGAAACAAAGAAGCAATATTAAAAAATGAGATATTYCAATTATATGTAGAAACATTTTAGTTTGAACAGCTTCAAGCAAATACAGGAAGCAAAATGTTTTCTCCATAAACGACAAATTCATATGCTTAATCTGTTAGAGACAAAATATGACTTACTGTGGTTACTAATAAACTGAATAGAACTAGGGTAAAAAGTAGATGGTAGTTTACTGAGTTCTTCATCTTGAAACATTCAAACCTTAAAAAGAAAGAAAGAAACTTTATTTAGAATATAGAACAGGAACAAATAGAATGGGACTTTACCACTTACCTACATACCTTTGTGGTCTAGTAATACCCATCATTTCTTTCCAACCACATTCTTAGAAACTCTGCACTCCTACAGCCTATGAGAGGCTGGAAGGATAAGGAGTAGATAAGTAGGGACAAATGTTCTCTCCTGAAAGTCTGGAGTTGGGGATCCAGAAACCTAATCAATTAAATATAGGAATGATTTCAAAGTATGAAGTCAAATGGACCTAAGATCTGAGGCTGATATTTTGGGGTAGCCAAAGTGAATGAATAAGTGGGTGAATGAGCAGAAAAATATTCCTCAGGGAAAGAAAAATAAATATAAAGATTTGAAGACAAATGAAGAGGAAGGAATGCAGAAAAGAGAGAAAGAGGAAGAAGCAACCATTCCATTTCTAGTGAAGTGAGTCTGTACTTCCTGCTGTCGTGTTCCATACAATTTCCTGATGTTCTTACAAAAGATAAACCTCTTAACTCAAGCTAGCTTCAGTAAGTTTCTATGTCTTGCAACAAATGATCCCTAAAGAAAACTACTTTTTAAAAATCACTTTTTATAATTGTCTCTTTTCTTATCTGTTTCCCCAACTAAATGGTGCATTCTTAGCATGCAGATATACAATCTTATTATTACTTTTTCATATATCTAGTCACTAGGATAGTATCTGATGCACTGGAGATAAAGAGTAAATAAGGAAATACAAACATAATTGGCCATCAGTTAAGTACCCAGTCTTTGAGGGCTGTCTTGGTATAGGCAATAGGAATATTCTCTCAGTTTACTAATTCATTGTGGAAGTTGGACCCAATTCTTATTTCCTTATCTATAAAGAAAGGTGGATTGCAATATCTGATTTTTAAGTTCCCTTTTGCCTTTAATTTCTATGAATTCATGGCTTGGAAAATGATKAAAATGTTAGGATATTAGATGGATGTTTTTCTTTTTTTTTAGTATTTACTTTTCAGTTTTAGGTGGACAAAATATCTTTATTTTTATTTTTATGTGGTGCCAAGAATCGAACCCAGTGCCTCACGCATGCTAGGCGAGCACGCTACCACTTGARCCACATCCCCAGCCCGGATGTTTGTTTTTCTTTTAAATTATATGACTTTATGGCTTGAAAGTTGATTGAAAAAGGTAGGATAYTTGTGAATTATAATTAGCATTTTCATTCTGTCAGTAGCTTAGAAATTTCTGTTTATTGTTTTAGATGCCCTCAAATCGGATTATTTATTAAGAAACCAAAGGTCTTTGGGAAGCCTGGCTTATATTTATTACTATGGTCATCTTACTTTATCATAGTCAGTTTCTTATCTATACCCTTCTTTAGATAATGAGTTCCTTGACTATTTCTATAGGGCCCAGTCACACCTTACACAAAGATGCACCCTAACWTACAATGAGTTCCTTGACTCTCTATTTCTAAAGGGCCCAGTCACACCTAACACAAAGATGCACCCTAACATACAATGAGTTCCTTGACTCTCTATTTCTAAAGGGCCCAGTAACACCTAACACAAAGATGCACCCTAACATACTAGAGCTTTTCCAGTATGTGTTTCACAAATGAACAAGCATATGCACATAGAAGGCAAGGCAGGTTTAAAACCATTATGGTCTAGCCTGCTTCATACACTTGATATGTTCAAAGAATATCCTAAGGAATTAACAGAAAAAATGGAATAGAATAAAAGGTTCATATACAAAAATCAACTGTATTTCTAAATGCTAATAATTACATCTGGAAAATAAAGTTTTAAAATTATAATACCACTTAAAAAGTACCCCCAAATCATTAGAAATCTAGAGTTAGAGCTAGCAAAGTATGTGCAACACCTATGCACTGAAAATCATAAAATGTCTCTGGAAGAAATTAAAGGAAACCTGAACAAATGGAGAATTATGCTACTACATTCATGGTTTGGAAGACTGAATATTCTTTCCTTCTTTCTTCCTCCTCCTCCATTCTTTCCTTCTCTTCTTCCTCCTCTCCCATTCTTTCCTCTTCCCTCTCTTCCTCCATTCTTTCTTCTTCTTCCTCCTCCATTCTTTCCTCCTCCTCCTTCATTCTTTCCTCTTCCTCCTCCTCCTCCATTCTTTCCTCCCCCTCCACTCTTTCCTCCTCCTTCTTCTCCATTCTTTCCTCCTCCTCTTCCTTCTCCTCATCCTTTCTTTCCTCTTCCCCCTTCCTTCCTCCTCTTCCTCCTCCATTCTTTCCTCCTCCTCCTCCTCCATTCTTTCCTCCTCCTCCTCCATTCTTTCCTCCTCCTCCATTCTTTCCTCCTCCTTCATTCTTTCCTCTTCCTCCTCCATGTTAGGCAACTAGTCTACCACTGAGCTACATCCCAAGCTCTAGCAGTTTTTTTTTAATATTCATTTTTTAGTTTTAGGTGGCCACAATATCTTTATTTTTCATTTATGTGGTGCTGAAGATCGAACCCAGTGCCTCATGCATGCTAGGTAAACACTCTACCACTAAGCCACAACCCCAGCCCCTCCAGCAAACTTTTTTGGTAGAAGTTGGCAAGCTGACTCTAAAATGAATGCAAAATTGCAAAGGATTTAGGACATCCAAAGCTATACTGAAAAAGAACAGAACAGGAGGACTGTTCTGACTGATCTCAAGATTTACAATAATGTGCATCTTGGGAGGCTGAGGCAGGAGGATTCAGAGTTCAAAGCCAGCATCAGAAAGCTAGTATATCCCTAAGAAACCTAGAGAGACCCTTTCTCTAAAGAAAATATTTTTAAAAAGGGTTGGGGATGTGGCACAATGGTTGAGTACCACTGGGTTCCAGTTTATCAGTCCTTGATACCAAAAAAAAAAAAATTTACAATAATGCTTGCTACAACTAAAAGACAACATGGTATTGACATAAGGATAAAACAGACTAAAAAAAATTGTCATAATAATTTAATGCATGGGCTGGGGTTGTGGCTCAGTGGTAGAGTGCTCTCCTAGCATGTATGAGGCACTGGTTCAATCCTCAGCACCACATAGGAAGAAAAAAAAAAAGATATTGTGTCCACCTAAAACTAAAAAATAAATATTAAAAAATAAAAGTAATTTAATGCAGAAAGAATAATCTTTTCAAAAGATGGTATGCAGGACCGGGGATAGAGCTCAGTTGGTAGAGTGTTTGCCTTGCATGCACAAGGCCCTGGGTTCAATACTCACCACCACCACCACCACACACACACACACACAAAAAGATATTATACAATAACCAGTTACTAGCAGGGGAAAATATGGATTCAATCCTCACCACCACCACATTAAAAAAAAGAAAAAAAATGATGTTATGCAATAACCAGTTACTAGCAGAGGAAAATATGACCCTCAACTTTGCCTTACAACATACCCAAAATTGACTCAAATGGATCATAGGCCTAAATACAAAAACTACAGTTAATAAAACTCCTGGGGAAAAAAGCAAACAAAACAGAAAATCTTTTTGACCATAGGGAAGGCAAAGAGCTCTTCTGACACAAAAGGTACTAGACCTAAAAATTTTAAAAAATAAATTGGATTTCGTAAAAATTTAAAACTTCTGTTCATCAAAAGACACCATTAATGGGGGCTGGGGTTGTGGCTCAGTGGTAGAGCGCTTGCCAAGCATGCATGAGGCACTGAGTTCGGTCCTCAGCACCACATTACAAAATAAATAAATAAAATAAAAAGACACTATATTAAGAAAATGAAAAGATAATTCATAGACTGAAAAAAATACTTAAGATAAATATTGGAGAGGACTTCAATCCCCGCCCCCCCAAATTGTACACTTTAATAAGAAGAAAAACAACTCAGTTTCTAACAAAAGGGCACAAGATTTGAATAGACACTTCTTTTTAGTTTTTTCCCTTTCTTCCTTTGGTGGTGCTGGAGATCACAGCCAGGGTCTTGTACTTGCTAGGTGAGCTCTCTATCACTAAGCTATATATCTAGATGCTTGAACATATTTCTTAAGACATACAAATGGCCAACTAGCATATGGAAAGATGGACAACATCATTAGTTCTTAAAGAAATGCAAATTAAAACACCAGAGACAGTACTCCATACTCCCCAGAAAAACTAAAAATAACAAGACTGGTAACATCAAGTATGAGCAAGGATATGGAGCAATGAGATTCTTCATATATTTGTTAGTAGAACTATAATAAAATATAACATGTTGGACAATAGTTTGGCAGTTTCCTATAAAGTGTAGACTTATACAACCCAGAAATTCCACCTCTAGGTATTTACCCAATAGAAATGAGAAGATATATCCAATTAAAGACCTGTACACAGAATGTATATAGTCACTTTATTCATAAGAGCCCCAAACTGGTAACAACCTTAATGTGCATCATTGGTGAATGGTATATCTATATAATGGAATACTTACTACTAGCATTAAAAAACAGAATGAACTACTGATACTGATAATAACATAGATGAACCTCAAAAAATCATATTGAACAAAAGAAGGCAGGCATAAAAAKGTACATATTGCATAATTCCTTTTACATGAAATTTAAGAGCAGATAGGACTAATCTATAGAAAAGCAGAGGACGGGGTCAGGATGAACTGTAATATAGAAGGAAAGGAATGTTCTCAAGTGATCAACATGTTCTATTTCTTAATATAAGGATAATGGTGTGAGAACACATTTGTCAAAACTCAAATTATACAATTAAATATACTTTATATATAAATTAATTAAAATACATTTTATTATATGTTACTCACACCTCAGTAAAATGGTTTAAAATTATTTCAATCTTTTCGTTTCCTTCTAAGAGTCACTTAAAGTGTACTATGGCAGGGTCTGGGGATGTGACCCAGTGGTTGAGCACTTGCCTAGTATGCATGAGGCCCTGRGTTCAATCCCTCATATGGAAGGAAGGAAGGAAGCAGTGTACAGAAATTCCTTTTTATATACTGAGGTGGTAGAACTTTGAAACTTGTTCTATTCACAGTTGACAGTTGGGAGACCATGCTTCATTTTCATAAAGTGGCAAGTTCTATCCTTTCCTACCCTACTGAATTTTGTAGAATATTAACCACATTACATGGAAGGCTGCTTGTTTTTGGTTCTGTTTCTTCCACTGAAAACCTCAGATTTTCTGAGGTAAAAGCTCACTTCTTACTTTTCCAATTCTCAGTGCCCATCGCACTGATACATCAACAGCATACAAGTTTATATTATAAGCAAATAAATCATTTAATTTAATCTTCATGAGAAAATTGTAAGTACTACAACTTCCAATGAGAAACAAATGAAGAAATAGAAATATTGACTTACGCAGGGTCATGCAGTTAGTAATTACTAGAGCTAGAAACTGAACTATAAGTTTTAATATCCTTAGTGTGTGTGAGTGTGTGTGTGTGTGTGTGTAGCTGTGGATCAAACCTGCAGCCTCATGAATGTTAGCCAAGTGCTCTATCACCAAGCTACATTCCCAATCCCCAGTCCTATCCTTATTTCTAAGTAATACCCTTCTGTTCCCTAACCTAATACACAAGTATTTTCTGAACCTATTTTATATGATTATCTAGTATTTTTTCCCAATATGGTCATCATTACTAGCCCAAGAACATTTTCTTCTAAAGATATAAAAATATCAGA